CTGCGAAAGGCGCTGGTAGACTGGCAGCAGCGCTTCTGCAACGTAGCCCGGAAGATTGTATTTGTGCTTTGGAGGTGGAACGCCATTCCCCTTGCAGGCATTATGACCGCACCACGAGTCTGCACCTTCCGGGCACAAGTCATGGTGAGGATCCTCGTCAGTTGAGGTGACGTGATAATATGACGCCATCACTGCACGCTGCATTGCAGCCACATAGTTTGAATTGTTCCGCAGTGCCCAGCCATAATAGTCTGTGAGTTTATCAATAAGGGCTTTTGTCAATCTGCCCTTCCCTCCCAGAGCCTGTTCGCAAAAGCACAAGATTACGTAGGGCTGTGCCCATCCTCTTCTGGACATGGTTCAAGCATTCTTCTTTCACAATAGGGACTAGCCCATAAACATTGTCTTGTTGAAGGGCAGAGAATGTGGCGCTGTCCCCATCAGATACAGTGGTTGTATATCGGAGGTTATGCTTGGACAGTGAACGTGAGAACAGAGTTACAGCTGCTTCAACCTCCATCCTCCCAGACTTGGCATCAGTGTTTTTTTGGCACACATGGTGCTTCAACCAGCTTGCATAGCCCTCGTCTTCAGGCTTCGGTCCTACCTGGCAGCCGAGACACTGATTCGATAAAACTACAGCATCCAAGATGAGGCCTGTGTGATACTCGATGATTGCACCAACTCCAATGTGAGATGTATGTCCGCTCTTATGCCACGTGCCATCATAGTTCACTGTAATGTCCTTGCAGAAAGATGGGTCCATCTCCTTGTACACCTTTTTCACAGCAGAAGCCGATTCTTCATAGAATTTATCCATGGTCTGTTGCTGTGGTTCTCTGAATTGCTTCAGGTGCCTCTGGAAAGTTCTGTGGTGCAGGCCACGGTGGGAAACATTCATAGTTGCCCAAAAGTCGTTGAGGGCTGTCTGTCCCTTCCCTATTTGTTTCATGGCCGTAATGGCTCTTATATTCGCGTCGAAGGCCCTTGACTCGTTCTGACGAGCAGAGCTCCACGAACTTGAAACTATTCCACAATGTGGACATACCAGCTCAAGCTTCGTGGCAAGTCCAAGCTGGGTGCCTCCTTGAACTTTCATACCGGTCGCGAGGCAGCGCGGGCACGGGGTCTTGGACAGCATGTCGCTAAGGGCATCCCCTTGCACGAGGAAATATCTCTCGCCTTCGGTCGTAGCGGTGGCAGCTTCGGGTTCAGGCATCATCGCTTGAAACTTCCTCTCGGTCGCTGGCATAGCGCCAAGCTTTCGTTGCACAGCAGCACGTTCTCTCTCCGCCGTCGCCGACTCATCGCACGTCCGAAAACGTGTTTGGATGTGCACAGTCGACGACGCGGTCTCACTGTTCGGGGCCGGAATCAATGCGGTTGGCGAGCGCGACACACCAGGCGCACTTGAGCACGAAACACCAACCTCACTCGTCACGACGGATCCTTGTGCCGATGGTGTAGAAGTCTCGTCGCTAATGGTGCATTCAGACGACGGACCGAATCCTGATGTGGCGGGACGGACGGCGCGTCACGTGACCTCACATCAGCGATTCCCCTCGTCCGCGGGGCTCGCGGACGGATGAACGCAACCCGTTTCTCACATCGGGATTCTGGCGGGGGAAAGCCGATACTTCAGTGGATTAGCTCGGGGTTTCCGGCAACCAGTACACTTTTCGTTTGCTCGCGGCATGTCCTCCATGGCTCGCGAATAGCTGCATGACTGGTCGGCATCATCTACGCTTGAGCATGGTTTACTTAGTTTCCGGGGGCTTTGTTCTCAGGTAATTAAATACGCAGAAATCACTTTTGGTGGTTCGGGAAATGTCGCCGCCGTCGTTTGACACGCGAGATTCTTAGCCGTCATGATGGTGAAATATTCTAACTTCTGCAACCGGCGACGTGCCGCTTATAAAAAAAGGATGGGAGACGCGTTCAGAAGTTCTACAAGTGGGGAACAATGTAGTTGAAATAACATTCTGCCAGCAACTCCCTTTTCTCCTGAAAGAATAACACTCCTCGTTCATTTGTCACAACGCGACAGACATCGCAGTAGCGTCGTTTCTTGCGGGCATCCACGTTGAATACTCTCAAACCGGTCTGCTTTCAGCGCACGCAGGTGAGCGCCGAACCTGCTGTCGAGGGTAATCCGGCTGTTTTCCCCTAGGACACCGTCCGTCGTGTGGATGCGCCTGCAGGCGGACCATCCGCGGATTAGCTGTCCGCGTCCACGACAAATCCGCATTCGGTCCGTCGTCTGAATGCACCATAAAGCGCCGACGCAATCGTCTTGAAAAGATGAAGCGGAAGCATCGGTGCAACTGTCGCCGTGTGTGGGCGTGCAGGTGAGCTTCGCCATGCGTACGAGCTTCAGCTGACGCTTTCTTGAACCGAACACGTGCCGAGTCTTGAACTTCGAAATGCCCATCGTGACCGTCAGCGCAACAATCCGCGTCCCGTGAACACGGCAGAAGATTGTCTCGTGAGGACGGTAGTGATCGTCTCGTAAAGACGGTAGAAGATCGTCTCGTGAAGACGGTAGAAGATCGTCTCGTGAAGACGGTGAAAGATAGAGGAGCACGTGTGACGACCGATCGGAATGATGGCAAACGGGGCACACAAAGAACGCCAGCATTGCAAGCGCCGGTGCAGACGACAAGCCGGCGCATGCCGGAGAAGCAGCTACGTCATCGCGCGCAGCAGCCAATAGGAGCCGCGCGCTCCCCCATTCCCTCGAGAGGCGCGCACTTTGTCCAATCGCGGCTTCGCATCCAGGCAGCGGGACATTCGAAAGCTTCCGCGAGCCCCCCAATCGTGAGCGACTCCCGCCTCGGAGTGCCACCGCCACTGCCGCGGGTGGCGAAAAAAAAAAAAGCGCATGAATTCATGAGCAAAACAACATCAAGATGGCGGCGATCGGCCGAGCGGTTGGGAAATGGCGAGCGCGCGAAGTTGGGGTATTTTTGGCGCTCGCTCGCCGCTTGCCGGCTGCCGCGGCATGTTATAAAATTTATTTGACGTACTTTCGCGATGAATTACACATTGATATTTACAGTAGAGGCAGTTTATGAGTCATACTGCCCGAGTATGTGGTTTTCAAAAAATCGACTTTTTCGCGATTTTTCGGTTTTCAAAGGGCGCCCCTTAAGGTTACACCTGCCATTTTCCTTTCCAATGCTCACTGCGTCGTCCTCAATTTAAGCTGAACCATCTCTGCAAGTCTCCAGGTTTTTGCTCTATTGCTAAGTACCAGCAAAATGCACCTGTTATATACCTTCCTCTTGAGAGATAGTGGCAATCTAGCAGTCATGATTTGTGTGCTTGCCAAATGTGCTCCACCCCATTCTTATTCTTCTAGTTACTTACATCTCGTGGTTCAGCTCCGCGGCAGGAATACAGAGCCCTTATTCGAGAGCTTCGCTCTCCACAAGAAGAGACCGTCCCTGTATTCGGCCGCAAAATGTGTTACGGACCATTTTTTTAGCCGAAACTGTTTTCTCCCGTAACAAACGTGCACAAATCAATGCCGAAGTGTCATCCAGCCAGTCAGTTCCCATGCTTTGAAGCATACTTGACCAACTTCAAGTTTGAAACTGGCCGATCGTGCCCTGCGCAGCACATGTTCAATGAAGTTCACTACGACAAACTCAACATCAAAAACCCCAAGTCGGATGTCGGCGCATGCAAGCTGTGGCCTTGTGGCTAAACCACACTGTTGCACCAGGTTGCGCTTTCTTTTTTGCTTTGTTTTCATGCCTCTGTGCTTGCGTGGTGCTATAAGCAAAAAGGTTTCTTCTGCACTCTGCTGGATATGGAGAGACTTTTAAATTTTGATTGACATTGTGAATGCTCGCGCTGCTCGAAACTGTTTAGCATGGTTCTTAAACCATGTTTTTACTTTTAAATTGTGTCGTTATTTTGTGATATAATGGTGTAACTTAACGATGTTTTGGTCGTCAACGGCACTGACTATTTCACCAAAACGAAATGAATAGATAAATAAAAAAATAGTTTTTTTTTTTTTTTCAAGAAGCAAGGTGGTGGGTGAGTTGATTATGCGAGGGGGTTTATTACACGAGTAAATACGATAATTTTCTGTGTCTCTTTTGGTACAAATTACTTCTAATGCCCCATACTAGCACTCCTACGTTGCCTCCTCTCTACTTTTGAGAGTGCTTCCTTCGTTACAAATTATTTCTGGTGCACCTTTAGTTACTGGTAACTCAAGGTAGCCATCAAGTCATGTTGCAAACGAAAGGAAGAAGGTAGAATTGCCAAGTTTGAAACAGACAGCCAGATTCGCTGCCCTACTACAATGAAGAAGGTTAATACCCTAATTTTTTACTTGAGTGTCGGGCAACGACACTCGCACTTGGGCCTTCGTGAGGCCATGTGCGTTCCTTGGGTTAACTGTTTCGCTGCGTTGCCAAAGAATCTCAGGGGCTACAAAGAAAGACTGATCTGCTACGCCAGGTGCTCCAGCTCTTACCTGCTCCCAAGAAAAGCATCAGCCTTCAATAAACTCGTTAAACTACATTATAATTCCGTTAATGAAAAACTGATGGGACCAGAGAAGTGTTTCGTTCAATGGAACTCCCGTTTACTGAGAGATGAACCGAGGCGCGTAATACATGTACGAAATCAACTATATTAGATGCAGTTCTATAGATTTGCTTACTGAGAGTCTACTGTATCTGTTATTTATCCTGGCAGTTCATTGGCCTTGAAGTAAACTCACACTCGAAAACATGTGCATCCAATATATCTACTGTATCTTTGTTATTTATCCTGGCAGTTCATTGGCCTTGAAGTAAACTCACACTCGAAGTCATGTGCATCCAATATAGATGTAAACTAGAACCAGAACCATAAATCTGGTCTTTGCTCAAGTTGCTAAAAAACTACTAGCCACAGCTAACGCAATGCTGCACATGCCTTTGCTCTAAACACTTTTCTCGTTTGCCTTTGACCTCACTGCAAGGAGTGGAACCACTCACTTGTAATACTTGACATCGTCTCTCTCGTCTTCATAGTCTTCCAGGAACTCCTTCAGTCGGCGTGCCTCCTTTGCCTGCAAGGTGTGCACACCAGTTTCGGCGTTGAGAACGACACATGGCTAGCAGATTCAGAATGTTAAAGACCATCTTATGATCGGGACAATGAGACGTTGCTACCTGATGTAACCACCCAAAGAAAGAAAATTGTGACATGTGGCACCAGAGTCTCGGATCGTTTTACCTGCGCTATGCCAGTTCGTCTACAAGAATGCAGACGAGTTTATATCAAGTTAGAAAAAACCTCGATACAATGAGTACAGATACAAATTAGCTGTTGCAACAAAGATTTGGATATTCGTCTACAAGAATGCAGACAAGTTTATATCAAGTTAGAAAAAACCTCGATACAATGAGTACAGATACAAATTAGCTGTTGCAACAAAGATTTGGATATTCAAATGAATCTTGATAAAACAAATATACCTTTTACATGTTGCGTTCTAATTGCAAAGTCTGCATTGAAGCTAACTGCATAAACGTCACTTTGCTCGCTACAGGGGCCGTATTTTCTCAACTTAAAAGTCAGAACGCACACTTAAGGAGTGGGCTGCCAGCCTTAGCAACTTTGTATCACATCAAAATTTGTTGTTACTGCATTCATGCATACATCAAAGCTGCCTTTTCTTTCAAGAATACTCATTTAGCGGTACACTGACTCATGGCGAACAAATCAAGCCCAAAATGGCATTTTCACGAATGACATTCGGTCTGTCAGCGGGATCACGTGGACACCATTAAAATGAAAAACCTTCAGCTGCACACTGTGGACAAGCGACAAAAGGGGACAACGGCAAGCATTTGTCATCTTATCGTGTCTTCTGTCGCTTTTCCACACTATTACGCTAATGATGCCGCACCAGCCAACCAGAACCACGACCCTTTTTGATGCAAGACACCACAAAAATAACGGCACAATTGTGTCAGAGGGGCATATACAATTGAACCTCAATACAATGAACAAAGATATAATGAAATATCAGTTATAATCAAGTAAATGAAAAAGTCTGAGTGAATACAGTGCCAAAAAGAGCCTCTATAACTATTATGACGAGGTGTAAAGGTATATGCACTTTCTTCTAGGCCCTCGTCCCGTGTTGGAAGCCCAGCAACACGGGACGTCTTTGATCCTAGAGTTCTCACCTCCTCTGCCAGCTTCTCCTCTTCCTTTAACCGTTCCTTTTCGTACTCTTTGGCTTTCCTTCGCTCTCGGGCTTCCCAGTTGCGTAACCTCTGCAAAGTGACCACAAGCTTGGGTGAACATTCGCATCAAGCACGAGCCGTTTCGAACACGCATGCGGCACAGGATGAGCGCGAGGCTTACCTCCTGGTAGGCGGCTTCCTTCTCGCGCAGCTTCCTCTCCAGCTTCTTGCGCTCGTACGCTTCCTCCTCCTCTTCCCTTTCGCGCTCCCAGTCCCGTTCAGCGTCTCGGGGCCTGCCCAGAAAAACACCAAAACGTGGTGATCACCAAATGTGCGCCTGTCACCAGGTTTAGCCCCTGTGAGGGATGTGGATCACTTCGCTAAAAGATGGCAAAAGCGAAGTACATCTTCAGACGATGTAGTCAAGTACATCTTCACACGATTTCAAAGAACAATGCACATGCTATGCATTGAAAATCTATACAAATAGAAATTACTATGGCCTTATTTGACAAAGCACACACAAAACAGTGGTATTAGAGAGTGCACGCACATTTTCATGAGTGATTATGAAGTTATTTACCATATTCGGCAAGCAATATGTTTGAAAAGTATAAGTGCGCGGCTACTCAACATCACAGTGTTCGGAGGGTTCGTTTAGGCGCAAGAAAAAATTCTTTAGCATAAAGATGGCATGATGGCAAATTCCAATTTTTTTATGGCACTCCCCTTTTGAGATCATTGAGAGAACCACAAGAAATGCCCACTCACCTCATTACCTCCCGTAGTTCCCGTTCCCTTTCCCGCTCTCGCTCCCGTACCCAGTCGCGCTCGGGAGACTCCGAGCGAGCCTTGGAAGGCGCCCTGTCCGACCGCGAGGGTGGCGGCTGCGACGACGAAGCTGGCTGCGCAGAGTCCGATGATGATGGCTTGGGCTCGCGGGACGACTCACGGTCCCGGTCCCGGCTGGACCTCTCATCGGCCCGGTCTTCCTTGGCCGAATCGCGCGTCGTGCGCTCCCTGTCGCGGGCGCGCGATGACCGGTCGGGACTGCGCTCCCGATCCCGCCGCTCCTTGCGCTCTCGGCGCCGCTCCCGCTCCCGATCGCGGTCTTCCTCCTGCTGTTTCTGGAAACGAACAAGAGGCGGCCACGACAGATGTCAAGCAACGTGCAGTTTCCCCCGTTTTCCTCCCCCTCCTCTTTTCACTCAAAGTTTTCATGTACACCCATATGGGAGCTAAACTAGGATACAGGAAAACAGATGCACACAGAACAACTAGCAGCCACCCATTTGTTACTCCCAGCTCCAACAGCAACTTCCATGTTGTTACGCAAAACCATCGATGGCCTGCAACCTTTCCCAACACTCCGTATGCTTTACAAGGACATTAAAAATGCGATTCCAGGCTTTTAGGTACCAAATTTTGACAAGACCACAAGTCCCGCGATAGTAGGAGGCTTCAATATTAGCCCTTGAGAATCAATCCTTTAACATGCGCCGAAATGTAAATTCAGATTTCTTATAGCATTATGCCTAGTCCTGCAATGTTCTGGCTGCTAAGCTACAGTTGACAGCCTTAGAACAATGTGTCACTAGGCCACTTAGTTTGCCTTTGAAGGAATAGTACACATGAGCACACTTTTGAGCAAACAACATACAGAAAAGAGCCATTCCGTGTGTGAATTCCTGCAGAACCACTTGGCAAAGTTGGCTACTAGCCGTGAAGGAGTGTGCATCTGATTTACCCAATCCTTTCTCCATGCAACCTCGGGCTACATACAAAACAACCATACAAGCCAACATGATTGAAAGAACTGCCTAAGCGAAAAACAGAATCCTACATTTTAGCCGGTAGAATTTTGAAAACTGCTGTTGCTGTAAGCACGTGCTTCAGCATGAGCCACGGAGCGAACCCAGTAACAAAGCTGAGACATTCTTCAATAGTTAACTGTGTTTCATGTACATGAAGTTATAGTTAACACTCATGCCAAATGTAAAGCTTGTGCCCTCCATATGCTGTCTTCACGGAATGCTCAAGCTTCTCGCCTGAAATTCTACGACAAAATGTTACTTTGACCCATTTAAAATTTCAGACGGTCTTAAACTTTGTCTTAGTCAAACCGTCCTCTCACGTTTGCTAATGGTGTCCCCCATTGGCAGATTCGGAGCACTTCTGATAATATTTTCTTCTGCTCCATGAAGAGCAAGTCTATTCCATTGGTAGATTGAGAGTGCTCTCATTACGTAGATCTGGAGCAGCTCTGCGGCGAAATCCACTCCACGGAAAAACTTTTGTTACTCCGGTAAAATCGGCGGATTCAATTGCAAGTCGAAAGCACCCCGTGCCTTGAAACGGTGCCAACTTTCGGCGCGTCAACAGACGCCAGTCGCGTCAGTTGCGAATTGCATACCAGCTTACGTTTTGCTAGCGTACCGTCACTAGGCGCAGCTTGCTTACTCGTACAAGAAAAGAGACGCGCGCATCACATTCCATTCTGACCATGCATTCTGACCCTGCCATTAGCTCCAGAGGGAACGCGTGTGTTCCATTAGTAGATTCCATTCTGTAGCCCTCCACCAGAGTGGAGTGCTCCAGCGCAGAGTTCGTCCGCCACTCCGAATCTTGCCAATCGATGACACCATAAGTTGGCTATAATAAGAACTCCTAAGTTAGGCTTTAATATTATTTTAAAGAAATGAGGTATTTCCTTTTAACCATAAAAGCTCACATTATAAATGATAACTTGTGACATAAGGTTGCAGACCACCTTGACGGATTAACACTAACTAGGGCTACAGTTGTATGCGTCAAGTTATAGCTACCATGTTTTGAGCAGAGGCTGCACAGCTACGGAGCGCATCAGAGTGAAACAGCTATTCTATTCTAAACGAACTAGTCCCATCTAATGATTCTATTTTTGTAATACATAACTGTACATAGATATCACAAAAGGCAACGTCGCAGAAGTCCTCAGCTAGTGATGCAAAGCGATGTTGGTTCACAAGAAAGAGCATGTCATAAGCTGACTAAAGCACTGCGCAAAAAGTGCAGCTTAATGCTAACAAGTAATGATCTTTAACTGCAGCAGGCCTTGACAAAGCACGAAATAAACAGCTGCTACCCGATTAGCACTTTAAAATCACACTGGGCAGCCAAGCAGCTCTCGTAAATTTTTTCCTTAATTTCATTGCACAGAAAACTGAGCTAGAGTTCAGCCTTGCCCTATTTCACAAAGGCACGATAGCTGCAGTCACACTGAAACCCAGTGGCCGTGGTAAAAACGAAAAGCTGGAACTACAGGCTCAGCTTGACCACAGTTGGCATGCCTTTGCAACTAAAAGCGGAACGAAATGAGAAGCTCGGTAACAAGAAGCAGTCTCCACTACCAAACTCCGCACTAAGTCGAAGCACCCCAAACCTTCGCGAGGCTAGCCGTAAGTCTACGTCGCAGGCAGTGCAGCGACAGGTTTTTAAACAAACTCGCTCAAATTTCCCCTCTCCCCACACAGCAAACACAAAGAGGCCACCACAGGCAGAAAAGAAGGTGGCTTGTTTTGATGCTTTCTTTGTTACCTTTCCTTTTTTTCACATGACGCCAAGAGGCACAGCGCCAAACACTCACTTAGAGGATAAGATACACCGGACCCGTTCTTCTCTGTCCCGCCTAAAAACATGCGTTCCACAAACAAAGACTCTCAAAACTCTCAAAATAATGAGCAGTAATTGCACAAGAGCATCAACACACAAATCTTTTTGCAAACACAAGTTATCTTTTCTTTTCAAGCAAACAAATATTGCGTGAATGAAGGAAATCTTACATGACCGACTGCAGAGAGGCCACAAAAGTTTTGTTTCCTTTCTCCTGCTGTGAACAGAGACTCTCTCTCTCTCTCTCACACACACACACGGCAATTAACACTTTGATAAAAAGAATTTAAAAATTTGATAAAAAAAGCCCAAATACATAAAGAACAAGTGTCTGTCACACATGTGGGCCAAAACACAGCAGCAAAAAAAAAAAAATCATTAAGGTCACCATGCTTCAAGAAGCGATGAAAAAAATGATACAGTGCAGGGTAGACAGGCCAAGTGCAATAAATGTACTTGGATGCCAGCAAACACATATTCTAGAAGTGGCAAAAAGGACAAACTCGAGTTGCATTCACATCCCGAACTAGACCTTACTATTAGAACTACACGAAGCGTAACTAAAGTTGGCATTCACGAACAACTGATAGGTTTAGAAGCAACCGCTGCTGTACTTACTTTATTTGTCCTGTACTGATAAGCTGTTCCTTCAAATATAGCAAAACGTAATTAAAACTTTGCAGGTGGTACTGCACTATGCAGTGTCATTCTCATTCCCAGTGGAAGTGTCATCAGCGTTACTGATACAACTCTGTTAAGCAAGTACACAGTGCTTTTCTTGCACCGTCCTTTCCATGTGCCATGTTTCAACACGAGCGTGAAATTGAGCCTGGCTTCCATTTCCCACTCTTGAACGGGCATAGCATCGAAAAATTCCATGAATATTCTTATTGCAAATGAGCATAGCTACTTTACGTACTAACTTAGGAAACAAATTGTCTTAGATTTAAAAATTTCAAGCGTTATATTTAAGGAACAATTTACAGGATTACTCGGATGGTTTGGCAGAAATGCTAAAGTAACAAAGTGGGCATTATGCCCCTTAAGAGACACTCAATGCTCTGAAATCTCTTGAACTTCTGCATTGATGTTTTTCAAGAAAACTCGTATTACATGCATATAAAGTGTAATTGTTTTGACAACAAAAGATTTCTTTGGCTTCACTGCTGAAAAAACTACAAACAAATATATAATTCAGTAAAAGGAATGCAAAGCTAAAACATGCTCTGTTAACATGGTCCCACAAAATATACAATTCTAAACTTGATATCAGAGGGTCAATAAAAAACAAGCTCGTTATCACCTATGAAAGCACATGTTGTGCAAATGTTCACTGCAAAATTAGGAGTGCCTAACTATTCCATGAGCACTTAGAGAACCCATTGTTTCAGAAACAGTAAAATGTCCTTGCAGTAAACTAAATAAAGGATGTAGCTATACAGAAACAAAATAAGCTAATTGTGATTCAACTTGCCCACATAATTGTGCTAGTCTCAGAAAACGAGTAGAATGGTACAGCACACCATGAAACATGAAAGCCGGCTTTACATCAAATGCTAACCATATCTGACCTAAAAACAAGACATTACATGCCACTATGTGCATTTTTACTAAATTGCTGGGTACAGCCCCAACAAATCAACTGCTGTTATAAACCTGTTATATGATAATTGATAACCTGATAATTATGAGTTAAACATAATTATCACAAGCCCAAGGGTTTCCTTAAAATATCTTGCCACTCTAAAGGCCCAAAATTTCAATTATTTTCTTCTTTAGAACAATGATGCTTGCAAGTATGATTCTTTGCTTTCCAAGCTTGAGGAATTGCAGAAACATTAATGACCTGTGATGTATTGGCAGATGTATCCTTCGTAGACTGCCTCTAAAAACTGCTACAAGAAAATGAAATTCTACAGAAACCGTTTCTTTCCCCTGATGGGATGTTGACTAGATTTCATAACATAGACTCAGTGTGCGGGAGCCGACAGCAGTTATAGGACAACCAGATAAGCTAGTGGGCCTACTACTTTAAACTCCTTACTTCCCAAGAGATGATTTGCTCTTTTTAAAGAGCTTGTGCAACGGCGACAGCGCAAAAACTCGTCCGCGCGTACTCACAATCGTCTATGTTTTTATTCAAACACGGGTCGGAACTGCGCAGGCAGCAAAACTAGTGATATCAGTGCAACTGAACAAGTGCGCAGGCAGCAAAACTAGTGATATCAGTGCAACTGAACAAGAAGACAAACAAACAAACAAAATACCCCTGTGATTTTTAAATAGAGCAATTCATCAGACTAGATGCCAAATTCAAATATGAATTGAGCACCTGAGCCCCCCCACAAGCCCGTCAAACATGCGTTCTTTCACATTTCGGAAACCATCCACAAGGCCACTTCTCTCAACGCACTGCATCCAGCTAAACCTAGGCATATCGAACTCTAACGCGAAATACACTACAATGCCCACTACA